AAGAACCAGTTGGAACCAAAATCGACGGGTACCCTGGGTTTGGTTCCGGTTCCTACCCAGAACCAATTGTCAATGGGTAGGTTCCAGTTCCAAATTTTTGGAATTGTTACTGTGCGGTTCTGGTTCCGATAGTTAGGAATCAGAACCGGAACCAGGAACCAAGAACTGAGACTAATATAAAATAAAATAAAATATTAGGGGGTTTAATAAAAACTTTTATAGAAAAAGTAATGTGAATACATTTATATTTATATTTCAGAACATTTAAAGTAAGTTGGTTTGACTTTTGAGAATCTACCTTTACAAAATAATGGAGTTTGTAATTTTGAATTTATAATTTGTAATTTTATTTTTGTTAACAAGTGCCAGGTGGGGAGGTATTTGTAAGTTTTTAAGGGTTTTTTTACCATTTTAAAAACTTTTGGGGGATCATAAATTTTAGAGGGTACCCGGAACCGGAACTGGAACTGTTGTTGCAGGTTCTGGTTCTGGGTACCTAGGAAGTGGAACCGTCGGTTCTGGTTCTGGTTCCAAATCTCAAGAAACTGTCGGTTCCGGTTCCTTCAAAAAGTGTAGGGTACCCGGAACCGAACACTCCTACCTGTCATAGTGTCATTAGCAAACTTTAGGGGCGAAAGGGTTACTAAAATATTTTACAAGATTAAAGGTACTAAAGACAAATCTTAGGGATTAAATTGTCATTATTCCCGCCACTGGGAGATGAACAGTATAAAGTGAAGGGAGAGTTTGGGCCTGCTGAGGGACTCAGGGTCCGGGACGGTGATGATGTGAAATGTTCTCACGCGTTGAGGAGCTTGGGAGGTTAGTACTCATTAGAAGACAAAGTTGTTGATGTCAGTGGGTCCCATGTGGGGCTTTTAAGTGATGTATGTTGACCGTCGATCTCTCAGCCACGCGCAGATCTAACGGGATAAGTTAATAGTCAAACAACTATATTGATAGGTCTCTTTGACCACACCGGAAACATGCTTTTTTTAAAAACTAATTTCCTAACTTTGACTGGCCTGTCACTTCGATCGAGGCGCTCTTCGTTGAATATCGAGGTGTCCTACAAAATTACCATTCTAGACATCAACCCTTCCCCAATTTTCCTTCTCGCCCATCTCTTGAGAATGACCAAACGGACCTCCTTAAAAGTTAAAATCCCGTTGCCCTTTTTGAATATTCCAAATTGTTGAAGCTTGATTTTGGATGCCAACTACTCGCATGTACAAAGTACTAAAATAGTCTTAGAAATTATACGTGATGGATCCATGAGATTTAAATATGGAACTGAGACTATGTATGCTACAAAAACATAAATAATAGACTAAAAAGAGAGGTTTTTATTTAAAGTAAATCATACATCCACTATTATTTTATTATTCTCTGGTTATTTCTGTGATATTGTCTGTAACGCATACAAAGATGGAGAAATAATGAAGCTCAAATCTATATCTAGCTCTCATATGTCTAGCCCTCTTTTCGGGAAGAAAATTGTCAATTTATACATCTTTGATATTAATGTAATGAGTGTTTTGTAAGTTGTCTTGACACATAGAAGACTCTCGTCCATTCATTTTTTGAAATGAGATAAGATTGGTATGAATATCTTTGAGACGGTATTAGCTTGATAACTAGTATAAAAAGATATTTATTGAACTGACATAAATGTGGCTTTTTAAGCAAAGCACAAATTAATTATGATTAATATACTAATTATTCAAAAAAAAAAATCTTTAATTAAACGTGGAAATAATTTTTAAAAGAGAAACGGGCAGTCCGTGCCCGTGGTGGTAAGTAAAACAGGGAGAAAGGGAAATGGCAAGGGGGAGTAATAAAAAGAGGGAGGTGGAGGGTAAAATGGTAAAGTGGGAAAGTGTAAAAGGCAATTCTGTTGTGGATAAAATTGTAATTATGATTAATTAATTGAATCCGGGTTATGGTTGGTTTGACCACTGCTGAATGGGCTCCATTTCTCCTCTTCTCTCTGTCTAATATTCTTTCATCTTTTGTTTACTTTTTCTCTCTCTCTCTGTCTCTCAAAAACTCAAAAAAAAATTAAAATAAAAAATCTCTCTCATTCACTTCTCATCTTTGACTTGTTTAAAGCTATTTTTTCTTCTCATCTAATCAAATACCACAAGTTTTTGGTTTCAGTTTCGCCGTTTAGTGTTCCTTTTTATCGCCTCAGTTATTAGACTTTGTAGTTTTGACCAAACTGAGAGGCGGGAAAGAAATCCTGCTGACGACCAAAGAAAAAATCATCCATGCGTTGAACGATTACAAGAAACTTGATCTTACCAAAGAAGAACTTGAATTCGATAAAGTAATTACCCTATATATGTGTGTGTGTGTGTGTTGTGTGTGTGTTGTGTGTGGTGTGTTAAACTGTAGGTTATTATGGATCATATCTGGTTATAGAGATATGGATATGGCCCAAATAAGATTGAGGTCTAGACTAAGAGCTTCAGACATTTCGAGTTTGGGTTTGATAGTCTAGGCCCATTTTAGCCTTTAGTCAAAATATCTAATCTGCCCACACATTCACAAATTTATATTATTCGATTTTCAATGTTTGATTGGTGGATATTAGAAATTCATTCAAATAAGGAAAATAACTTTATTTTAAGAATGATTTTCATATAATATTACATTAAAGACCACAACATTGTAAGTTAAAAGAATCAATAATATATCTATAAAGCTTGGTGTTCGCTTTTAAAAGGGAGTATACTTCTTAGTCTCCATCTTTTATCGTAGATAGGGGTATAATAATATTTAAAAAAAAAATATAACAATGGTTCATATTTATACTCAAGAACTTTACAAGTATTTAAAAATATGTTCATTATTTTGCTCAAGATTTGAAATATTTTAATATCTTATTTGTATAAAGTTATAAGTTCTAAAAACTTAAGAAACTAATATAAACATCATTTGATTAAGGGGGTGTTTGTTTGAGTTATGAAATTAGCAAAGAACAAGAAATTAGGATTATAAGCATTTGAAATTTTAAGCAATTACGTATTTGTTAAAATACTTATAAATGATTGATAAGTAGTTAACTTGTTTGAAAATGTGGTTTATAAATATATTTATATTTAAAATGACTAAAAGGGTACTACATTAAAAAAATGATACTATAGAATTTTAAAATTAAAAAGGATAAATGGTAATATACTTGGTCAAACCGTTTATAAACAGAGTGCATATAAGAAAACAAAAAAAAAAAAAAAAGTCCCTCCACCCCCCCCCCCCCCCCCCCCCCCCCCCCCCCCCCCCCCCCCCCCCCCCCCCCCCCCCCCCCCCCCCCCCAACTTTTTTTTTTTTTATAAGTTCAACTTATAAGCTCAAAAAAGTTATAAACAAACATGTCAGTTTAATTTTAGAGCTTATAAGCTAGTTTGACCAGCTTAGAGCATCTCCAAATGACTCTTTATACTACACAAACTTTTATTATAAAGAGTCTATCCATAAAAAACAAGAGTTCAATATGCTCTTATCTTTAAAATATAAATTAGAGAGTGAATTGGCTCTCCACATTTAGAAAATTAAATGTCACTCTTATCCTAATTTTAATTAATAAACTACAGGTTCCTATATATTTTATTATTAATTTTCTCTTCCATTAAGTCTCTTTTTAAAAAATAAAGAGCATTTTCATTAAATTTAAAAAGTCTATTGGATTTGAATAAAAATTGTGTTCTTATATTTAAAAATTAATAAAGATGCTCTATATTATAAGAAAGATGCCCTTTAAAATAAAAGAGTACCATTAGAGATGCTCTTATAAGCTTAGACAAACATCCCCTAAGTTCTATAATTTATTGGTTGTATAATCAATTTTTCATTTAAACAATAAATTATAACTATTTTCCAAAATATTAAACTTATATAAGAAATTGATAAGAATTCTCCAAAATAGTAATATATAATAATAATAATAATAATAATATAATAATAATAATATATATTATATTAAGTGTCGGGTCAGTTTACACCACCCTGACTGATCTTTAAACGAAACTATTCACAACAACTCACCGTCGTGATTATATATATATATTAATATATATATATATATATATTATTATATAATTATATAATATATAAGTGTTGAGTCAGCTCACACCTACCCGATGATCTTTAAACGAAACTATTCCACAACAACTCACCGTCGTGATTTCTAAAGTAAGTCATTAGCAAACTACTATCTTTGTGCCTAGTGGAGAATCAAACTTGGGAATAGTAATTATATTTGCTTTGGGTCTAAAAGGATATATATATAAAAATTAATTAATGTTGTAAAGTAGAAATATCATGTAATTTTAATGATTTTTATTTATTTGTGAACTTATAAATTCTGAATAACCTAAAATTCTTTTAATTTGTATTAATAACCGTAAAAATAAAGCTTTCAATACAAAAAAGAGAATGATTTTTGTTTTTACAATTATACGCTTAACCTAAAAAGAAGTGGTGGAGAATAATGTCATTTCCCATTTACAAGTAAAAATTGTAAAGACAAAACAATTGAACATATTATAAAATTATGGTTAAACTTACACGTATAGAATGAGATGTGACAAGAATGTTTGAAAATGTTACAAACGTATAGCTGTAGTCAAAATAATCGACTATAACATCAAATCATAGACCGGCAAAACTTGACTACCATCTATTAACTTTTATAAATTCATGCTCGTAACTCCTAAATTAGTCAAATGCGACACCTATATGACAATGGGTCACAAAATTACAATTTTATCCTGAAATTTGGCATAACCCTTTAGTCTTAATGATTTTTTAGTAACATTTTGGTCCTTGTCATTTAGGGGTGCAGTCGAGCGAGCAACTCACGCCAACTTGGGTCGAATTGTCAAGCTGAGCTTGAGCTCTAGCAATTCATAAATTACACAAGCCAAGTATTGAGCCTATAAGTACTCAACTCTCAAGTTCGGAGTTTAAGAAAGTGATGATTGAATCATTTTCATTACCTTTCGGGAACGCTCTTTAAATTGAAGGCGTAAGATTTGTCTACGTTCAACCTTCTTTTGTGCCCTTGCAACATATAAAACCTTCGAGCCTGCATGGCATTATGAATTAAGTGTGAGAAATATATAGTAGGCAAAGGCAATAGTTGTTAAAAGAAGTATTATGTATTGGTTTATGAAGGGAACACTAATTTAGGGAACACTAATTTACCAATTTGTTTTCCATGCATACACTCTTTTGCTCTCATGGCATCTTCTGCAATTTCAAAATTAACAAATCCGAAACCTCTCGACACCCCATTTACATCTTTTGTGATAACAAGGCTGGTTATCTTTCCGAATTCGGAAAATTTCTCTGCTAGAACTTCCTCACTTATGTCATCTTCCAAATTTTTTACATATAAATTAGTGAACGATGTATCTCGATCATTTCTTCTGACCAAGTGAGCAACATAACTGCAAGGAAATACTTTAACGTTAGGTAAAAAAATATGTTTGAGGAAGAACAATCCAAATTTTTTATTAATAATTTTGCACTTACAGTTCTTTCCCTTCAATTGTAATGCCATTAAGCTTTTCAATGGCATTCTTTGCAGATTCTTCTTCAGCATATTGTACAAAACCGTATCCCTTACTGTCTCCCGCTTCAGATACGGCCACTTTACATGACAGTATAGTTCCATGCTCAATAAAAATTTCATGTAATTTCAAATTATTTATTGAACTAGCCAGGTTCTGCCAATTACATTGTTATTCAGTTAATATCATATAGTGAAATTCAAGAACAAAAGGCCGAAAACAAATAGGTTAAATAGACAAAAGTACTATGTATACCTTAACAAATAGGTTGCCAATTCCACTATTTCTGACTTCAGAATTGGGCATTGACCACATGACTCTCATCGATTTACCATTCACCACTTTGTAGTTAAAAGTGTTAATGGCCTCGGTGGCTAATAAAAAGATTGCCAATAACCAATAAGAGTTAGGTAAATAAATTGATAACATTCCACTTCAATAGTAAGTGGTTCAATAGATATATAGAACAAACCATTAAAGAAATAGCTTCTGGTTTCAGTTAGCCCTCACTGAAACAAAATTCTGCTCCGTCACTGACAAAACCTCCTATCTATATGACTATATATAATAACCATGCAATGCTAGATTAATTAAAGAGAGGTTAGTTAATATTAAGAAAATAATATTTCATGCACATACGTACCACTCTCAAGGGTGTTATAATTGACGTAGCCATAGCAGAGCGATAGTTTTTTAAGGGCGTCCTTGCAAAGAACAGCAGTGTGAAACTCAGGGATGCTCGAGAAGGTTTCGATGAGTTTTTCTTCAGTCACGCTAGAATCAAGATCCCCAACGTAGAGTGAAAAAAGGGTTGCCGTGCTTGTAATTGGTTGGTCTGACATTCTTCAAGAGTTGAAAGAGAAATAGAAAGTAGGGAAGATAATTGTAAGAAAGAGTGTAAATTTATAGGAAAAGAATTATGTATGTATGAATTGGTATTGTTTTAGAATTGTAATTTTAGTTTAAGAAGAATTTTAAGGGCGCCAAAACATCTTAATCCTTTACAAATTACAAGTGTGTGTAAATTTTGTTTAGTTAGTTTAGTTTGGACAAGGATTCTTATCTTTAAGAGTTCAACAGTTTTTCGATTAGAATTCTAATTTTAATAATTAACCGCAAATAAAGTCAAATCCTAAATTACTATAATTTATCAACATAAATACAATACCCCATTTTCATAATCTAAAGAGCATTGTTGTTTATTAGGATTACTTTAAAATTTTAAAAGAATTTGTATTAAAAGCATCTTTAATAAAACCTTTCCAAAAGTAATTTTAATCATTTTCTCTTGAATCCACCACAATTCGTTACAATATGTCCAATTTTAGGCTAATATATATTGAAATTTTTTATGTGAGGATTAAAGGTGAGCATCTAAACACTCACTTTTGATAGTAGAGTTTGTGAAGTAAGCGTCTAGACGTTCACCTTTGTTTACACGTTAGAAATTTTAAGATATCCTCATCATATATATATTATTCTTAAAAGCATAATCCCATATATAGAAAAAATAGTTAAAATTAATTAAAAAAAAAAAAAAAAAAATGAGATGGGTGAGACTTCTTGATATAGAAAAATAATGAGATGCATGCCTGTTGTAGTTAACTTCATCCCTCTTTCTTGCTTGTTTGTATTTGGTAAAGGATTAGATTGACAGCATAAATTAAAAGAATACAATATCAACTTTATCATCTAATAATATTATCGATCCAATAACATAACAATCTATGAATAAATCAGTCTATCAAAGCTTGTAGTATACGTTTGAGTGGTACAGAACATATCAACTATCTAAAAGTAATTTGAATTCATTATCAATTCCAACGAATCTAACAAAGTTATTGATGTTTTGATCCAATGATTCAATTTCAACATTTAATTTCACGAAATTCTAACTTTGTTGCTATTAAATGAATATGATATAAAACGGTTTGAAGAAGTCAAAAGAACAGAAAGATTTTGTATAAATTGATTATGCTGTTAAACCAATGTTCCCTTATAAATCTAATTTACAACTCTTGCCAATGAAATAAATCCTAACCCTACATGGCTGATGAACATACATATATTCTAAAGAAAAATTAGCCACAATTAACACCCACAAAATTAATGACATATGGGCCTGCCCATTGCTATAATAATAAACCGGCCGGAGAATATACAACGCAAAGAAAAAAAAAAAGAAGAAAATGGTATTAGACCTCCGGCAATTCATGCTACAACAACACAAACCTGCCAAGCATCAGTATATGCAGTAGGAAAGCTATCATGTTCATTTGTATCAACTTGTGAGGTTGAGGCCGTGGTGCAGTGTCGCCGCTCAGCTGCCCTGCGTTTACATATTCACTTCTACCTGTATTTGTAGCGGTAGATACATTGACTGACATTGAACCTAGTAAAATACATGTGTAAACACATTAAATTAGGGCAACAGAGATGGACATGAACTATGCAATTTGTTTTAACATTCCACTTAAACAAATGATCAGTTAAAACATTTTCAAGTTTTCCACAAGTGATCTCCTTATAAAAAATATAGTAATGTTATGGAGTGAAAATTGCTTTTAGTTGATCAACATTTAATGCCAATTCTAGAGGTCATTGAAACTTACAATCATAGTTAGCCCATCCAATTCTTTGACCAGCCAGATCGTAGACAACAATTTTGTCTTTCAGAACTAGATCTGCAAAACAGGAGATGAACAAAGTTAGTCCCAAAAAACAAAAAGCAGGTCCAGCTTAAATATAACCAAGAAAACACAAATGGAAAGTAGGGGCCACATAAAACTTGACATGAAAATTTCTTGGTCATGCAGCTCAGAGAAATAGTTAAGATACACCAGCATAATCAAAATAAGGAAAGAGGTATTCAACATATTCCATCTCTAATGATGATTAAAGGAAAATTCTTTATTTCTTCCTTGTGGAAGATCCCGGCAACAGAGCAAACAGACAAACCAATAAGATTGACAAGAATTCTTCTTTATGGACCAGGAACAGAGCAAACATACCAACCAATGAGATTGACAACTGGCCAGTGATAGCAAGGCTGAACTACTAGAACCATATTACGAAAGGAGTTTTCTTTTTCTGAGAAAACATTTCTTTGGGGTATGCATTATGAGACAGGTCAGCTAATTTAGGTATATGGTACCAAGCAAGAAAAAATTGGAAGAGCGTTTGACAATACGTTAACATCAATAACTAGAGGTTAAACCAGAAATTTGAAGAAAGTCAGAACTCAGAAAGTTAACAGATAAACTATAGCCCAAATGAGATGAGATCTACATATGCATTAAATCAGAAACATTATTTGTGTGCTGTCAATACCTCCCAAAATTGTTTGACCCTGAATCTTTTGAAAGCCAATGCACCACACTGCAGCACCACCCTGTAACCAAAATTACCCATGTCAATTTAAGCATAAACTGTATTTATGTAGGTGTCTGGAAGGAGATCAGACTTCAACAACAACAACAACAATAATAACCTGTCTTTATCAACATGGAGGTGTTGGATTTAAGCATACACATGCCTAAACCAACATGAATTCAATGGCAATATGAAGAGAGATGAGAACAGGAGATTAAATTTTGCATGGAAACAAGAAAAAAGAGAAATAATATCAAGGTGACCACATTGAGTAGGTGAAGATGGTGCATTCAATGAACTGGTAGATGAAACTTATCAGAGAAATAATTGTGAGTTATAGCTGAAGTATATATTACATATATAAACCAAAAAATATAAATGCAACTGAATGTTACTCTTGAACAGAAACCCATCTTGTATCAATTCAGCTTCCAGGCATAGATGATAGACAGACAAATCCTCCACAATTTTTCAGAAAGAATATATATACAAACATATAAATGCACTCACAACAGAATTCTGCTGTATAAGGTAGTCTTGAGGATTTAAAACTAGGGATGCGCCTCCAGCAAAGTTGAAGCTAACTTGAGGAAATATGCCAGCAATACTGAACAGAATGTAAAATAATAATTAAGAGTTAAGGTTGTCTTAATATAATGAGCACTCAATGAAAAGAAATTATAAATCTAAATAGCAAACCTGGTGGTGACAATAAAACATTGATTTCCCTTGGAAAGAATAGAGCGTACAGGTTGCAAAACAGAACTTGTAATCTGCACAGCAAGAGCATATTATAAGTCAAACTTTGCCTGAAGTGAGTATTTGCAGTGTTTCATGATCATATTAAATTCCAGTCTATTTGCTAGGAAAAGTTAACAAACATAAAATATCCATCTTAAAATATTCAATTAAAAATATTCTAATTACTGTTCAATGTATCAAGTGGAAAACTAATAATTTCCTCACTGTAACTTACAGCATTGACAAGAGGATCATAGGCATCTGCAGTAAGGTATGCCAAAGTTGTCCCTGTATCAACTATAGTTCCTTTGTTGCTTGATGTTGCAAACACAGATGGATTAACGTCCAAAGGTTGGCCATTGACAGAAATGCTCTGCAGATTCAGATTATAATGAGGCCTGAAATTTTGAACATTCAATTGGTTAGTCAAACTTACAGCAGTCAATAATTTTAAGTTCCATATCTTCATTCATTAAAAAAGTAAGAAGATCCATATTACTAAACATGTCAGAATCAAAATGAAACTCACTCACTATAGTTGTTTACATATTTCAGAATCATAGCCAGGAATTTAATTTTCTTGTTAAAACTGCAAATGTTCAACAGACAAGCTTCGATATTTTACCCATGTTTGAAAGAGTGTCAAGGAAATTATTTTAAACCAAGCGAAATTATTATTTTACTCATACATCGATTCTGTTTGTTTGTTTCCCTGAAATAATATTGTTATTTACCATAGTTCACGATTTGTCCCCATCCCTTTCATATGAAAAAAGATAATATTTTTATTCAATTATTTCCACACAAATTTACATTATGTTTCATGCTTATATAAAGAAAATTATACACAGAAAAAAAATTATGGAAACAAGAAAGAAAGCAAATCAATAAATGGCAACAGGATGCATCTAGTCAATCAAAATCTATGGGTCCATTGCAAAGACTATGCACTAACTGTTGAAATACAAGGAGATTTATCAATATAATTATATGAATTACAGAAATAATGCCCCAGTTAGTGAAACTACAGTATCAAACAACAAAATTATGGGCCAGATTTTCCTTTATCCTTTTCTTTGACACCCTGACAAGCTACTACAAATCAATTCAATGAAAACAACATTGCAACTTATAGATGTAAACATTTGGTTAACAGATAGCAAGAGCCACAAACCTTTTGACAGAATAGAAGATGCCTAAGTGCACTATGAACTTATAGTACAGGGGCAAGCTAGAAAATAATTCGGTGAAATATGATTGTCTCAAAGCATCACATGACTGTGAAAAGAACAGAACAAGCTACAATTCCAAATAAGAGAAGATAACTTCAAAGAACCTCAACCTCACGGAAAATATATAAGCTTAAAAATGTTTTTTACAGGTGATTGGAGAGACATAATGTATCCATTGGCTTACAATTTTCTTTCACTAATCCTTTCTCCCAGCCGTCGACATAAGCTAATTCAGAACAGTTTTCATTAAAGGATCATTTGAAACAAAGATAGAAGTTCCATTTTCAAAAGCCAGACACAAAATGCAAGATGCTATTGAAATTACCAATTAAAAGTTGTTAATAAACAAGTAAGAAGAACATATTTCATCCCAACTATCTCTTCATGTTCCTTTAACCTTAAGAGCAGTTTGTAAAAAGTCATAACAGCAGTACACAGATGCATCATGTGAATATTAATAAGATGTTCAGAACTGTACAAATAAATGATATAGGTCAGTTTAAAAAGCAGCTGCTGCTACAATGTGAAAATGTCTTAAACCAAACACAAAAACCATGCTACTCATCATAATTCTATTTTTCATGACTAATAACAAAATTCTATCATGAGAAACAAATAGGAAATGAAATGTATCAATTTTTTTTAATGAAAAAAACATACTGTGATTGGACGAGTGGAGAATAAACTATATTCGGTTCCACAATCTCACCGAGGACCAATATACCCCCACCGGCACTATCTCCTTTCAAGCAGTGGGAGAACACTCTTGGTGTTAATCCTGATGAAGCAAGCTGTGAGATAACAGACATTCCCTGTTGCCCAAATCCGAAGATCCCATCCACTGCTCTATCTGATTTTGTCAAGTCCCCGGTCTGCAAGGTGCTACAGCTGTTTCACAATCGGCCAAGAAAGATTGATTTCTAAGCTCCAACCAACAAGACGAATGAATAAAACTATCATCTTAACCTCGACAGATTCATGAAGCTTACCCAAAGACAATTTGAGATGAAGAATTTGTATTCACAGAACCCTGAACAATAGTGTCTAAGTGTAACAAATCTGCTACATAATAGCCAGAAGTCCCACTGCCATCTCCGTATTGGAACGTGTAACCACACTGATTTTTCTGAGAAGAACAGACAGAATCTGCCGATGTAAGTCCTAAACTACATCTTGGGTCTGAACAAGAAACCAATGAAGCAGTTGATGAACTCTGAGGATCAAAGAAATTCAACTGAATCTGTATGAAAATCAAGCAATCCAGTTGAAAAATGTTAGCACAGAATTGGTCCAATTGATTCATGAAATTTGGCCAAATTGACAATAAATGGAAAGTTTTACATATAAAGTAATCGAAATTTACTTGGAGTCCACTGGTTCCTGGGCAACCATTGCAGGAGCTACAACTGACCCATAAAACATCACTCCCAGTATCTATCTGCACGTTAAATTCTCTTGGTGGAGAACCCAATTGCACTTTTGTGTAATAAAGCCTAAACAAACCAAAAAACAATCAGTATATAGCCAATGAAAAGACTAAATTTAATCAAATTATCGGAAAAATGGAAAGATATGAACAAGACGAAAGCCATAGCAAACAGAAAGGTAGAAAACAAAAAACCTTCAAATCTCATTGATCCATCAAATTATAATAAATCTGTATAATAAACCATCTTTCACTCAACAAACAACAAAAACATATAAAAAGAGAAAAAAAAATATCATAAACACAATTATATAACATTAAAATCTCAAGAATTAACAAACACCCACTAAACCAAAAATACCAAAAACATGAAAAAGTCGAAAAGTCAAATGCAAACCCATATTAGAAAACCAGATTATCACTAAAAACAAAAACAAACCCATTTCTCAAAATTCAACAAAAAGAAGAAACAAGTGAAAGCATAACAGAATTACCCAACAAGAAATGGATCAAAGGTCCCGGCAACAGGAAAATCAACGACCCCACCTGAAGACTGTAACAATCTACCGTGCCTCTTCCTGTCACGAGCTATAAGCTGAGCCAACTGGAGCTGGTGACTCGGCGGAATCGCTCTCTCAAGCGTTAAAGTCGTTGGAAAATGACTCAACACCGACCCCACATGAAACAACAACATAAAGGCGATCATAACTCCGAGAGAGAAAAACGCCTCCATTTATACAAGAAAGAATGTTCAAACGGAAAAGTTGAAACTGGTGTTGTGAAAACTTATGAATTTAGGAGGCAAAGATAGAAGTTGTAGTATTGTGCATTTAAAAGAGGGAGAGACAGGAGAAGAGAGAGGGGGATTTGAGAAAGAGTTGATAACACAAAAGTTTTTCGAAAATGTCAATGGATTACGTTAACGTTATATAAATAAATAAATATATATATATATATATATATTTATATGTAAATGGATGTGAATTGTGATTGTGAAGGCGACTGTGTGGAATTATTTATCTTAATGAATTGATTTTGTGTCTACTTTTTTTCCCGTGTTTTGAGAGACGAAGAGTTTCACTCTGAGCTTCCTGTTTGGTAACTACTACTTGCATTGCAGTGGCGTACTTATACGCCCTTTATTTTATTTTTATTACTACATTTTAGAAAACTGAATAAAAAATACCTCCTTTAGATTTAGCCATACACCAGGGAATCCAAGGGTTTCTAAGTGACAAATTTCCCAATTTTTTAGAATGTACCATTTTATCCTCAGATTATAATATTAAAAATAATAACTAGGAATAAAAAAATAGATTATAAATTACTTGTTACTTTTAAATTCATCAATTTTTCATTTAAATCATGATGGTGTCGTATATGTCATAATTTTTTTCCTTGTATCATTGATTGGGGAGTTTTGTAACTCCACGAAACCTTTAGTTCTTTGGAATATCACTAAACTGAAGGAGGTATGTCTGGATCCGGTCCTTTAAGAAGAGAATCTCCTTCTCCACTACTTTATTCATAACGAAAAACATTCAAATCTGTGTGAAGATTTCTTTTTGAATGGTAATTTGGGAACCTTATTATTATTTTTTTTTTCTTTTTTGGATGAAGGGATGTACGTTCAGTTTATGCACACTTCACCAATCTCTCCGATAAAAACTTCAATAATTATTCCTATTAACACCACCTCTTGATAATACATTCAAGATTTAATACAAATTAATTGATTATGTGTATTGTAAAAGTTAGTTGAAAGGTATATATTACTTAAGGAAGGGTATTGACTAGTGTTAGATTAAAATTTGAGTTATTTAATTTGAATTAATCACACAAATTGAATTACAACCACTAAACTTAGGGGGTGTTTGTCTAAGCTTATAGCTGGTCAACTTGTTTATAAGCTCAAAATTAAGTTGACCTGTTTGTTTATAACTTTTTTGAGTTTATAAGTTAGCTTATAAGAAAAAAAAAAAAGTTGGGGGGAGGTACTTTTTTTTTTTGGCTTATAAGCACTTTGCTTATAACTAGTTTGACCAAGTATATTACAACATTATTCTTGTTTAATTTTAAATTCCATAGTATGTCCTTGTTTAATGTAGTACCTTTTTTAGTAATTTTATAATAAATATACTTATAACCACATTTTACCAACACACGTCAATTACTTATCAGTCACTTATAGTACTTTAACCAAACACGTAATTGCTTAAAATTTCAAATGCTTATAAGTTACCTTTTGCTTATAAATAATTGTTACTTATAAGCTAATTTTCATAAGCTCGGACAAACATTCTTAAAATAGATTAATTAATGTTTTAATAACACTTATTTATGAAATTTATTATTTTCTCATAATTGTAATTAATCAGAAACGCGACTCGTCATGAACAAACGTAATTTATCATCTCACATCATAACATCTTTAATCAAGGGCGGGCGAGAGGGCCACCACAGGCCACAGCTTTATCAAAGAAGGGGTCCCCCAATTACCCGCCATACATCGCATCACCATTCAAACAAAAGCCAAGATCTTCCAAATTCCTCTCTTCTCTTCTCTTCTCTTTACCAGAAACCAATGCACAATTATTTCACATTTTACTTTAACTTTTCTGGTCGGCCTCTATTTTTTTTAAATAACTAAAATATATTTGCTTAATTATTAAACCATCTTTAGACGCCCACCGCTGCCCTGAGTTATCTTTTCTGCAATGACTGATTTACCCCTATAAGTTTTTTCAAATTTTCAAGTGAGTTTTGAAAAAGTAATGGAGGATATGGGTGGTATTTTGGGAAAAAAACTGGAGGTAAAAAGGAGAAAACAGGTTGAGATAGGAGAAGTGGCGTTTTCGAGATTTTGACCAGAAAAGCCGCAAGAGGAATATAAATTGAAGCATGTACTGGCTGTTACGGACGCCAGGGTACCCTACATCAACTTTTTTATAATTCATTTATTATTATTTGTGATTCCAACCATGTTACAATTATTCCATCACAAGAAAATATTTGTGCACGTTATATATCTTTTTGACTGCACATAAACAATATGATAATGATATGATAATCTCAAATATGGTTTTTTTTTATTTTACGAGAAGACATTATTAGACTCTTCATGTTAATTCTATAAAAACAATAAGAATTAGGAGGTTATAATGGACAAAAACCTAATTACAGTAACGTTATTATAATTTATTAAATGATATAAAAAATTATATTTGATAAAAAAAAAAATCCTCTTAATTATCTCATTACTGCTTGGGTTATATTAATAATAACATGATTAAGGGGATGTTTGTCTGAGTTTATAAGCTAACTTGTTTATTTATAACTTTTTTGAACTTATAAGTTGAGCTTTTAAGAAAAAAAAAAAAGTATTTGAAAAAATAATAATAATAATAATAAGTTAAAAGGGAGGTACTTTTTTTTTTTTTTTTTGGCTTATAAGCTAGTTTGACCAAGTATATTACCACATTATCCTTGTTTAATTTTAAAATTTCATAATATACTCTTGTTTAATGTAGTACCATTTTTAGTCATTTTATAATAAAATGTATTTATAAGTCATATTTTACCAAATATCATAATTGCTCAAAAAATAATCATTAACAATATATTGGGTTTGACACCAAAGTGGTGATCATCAAAACCATACTAATTTTTGTTGATTTTAAATACTCATTAACAATATATTGGGTTTGACACCAAAAACAAACATTAAGAATAAAGAGATGAAAAAGCCAAAAAGAAAAAAAAAGAAAAGGGCTTGTCTTGTAACTGTCATTAAATCTTAATTTTTGAGTGGTAAAGTAAGAACCCATTATATAGTATAATTTGAATTGACTCAAAAAGGCAGTCTATGAGTTGGTTTCTTAGCAACAAAGAGAAGAAAAGTCTTTATAACACACTCTACTCAAAACCTGGTGTTATATAACAACTATATAATAAAACGTGAGTTTTATATTATGTAAAATTACCCAAGACTACAGTCTGATCTGGCCACCACCACTGGTCGTCGTTGCCAGAATAGTACGTGATTGGCCAGATCGGTGCACGACTGATCATATTAGATTGGTTGTGCGTCGTTCTTATAATTATCGACGGTTGACAATCATTTTGGGTGGTTGGGATGTTTTGACTAATTTTTAAACTTTTATTATGATTGAGATGTTTTAGCTTAATTCTCAAACGTAGAGGGTTAAAAAAAATAGTTCAAACAATAATAATTAATAATATTGTTATTATTATAATAATATTAAAAAAGAAAGGCAATTCAGTAAAAGGATTCTCTCCTAAATTCTTTTATTTCTCTCAACCAAACATATTAATATAACATAGTCAACCATTTATTCTAGTTTAACTAAACATATTTAATAAAAATTTCTAGTAATCCTCACGGTAATCCTATTTTCTTGTTAATATAATATTCTTAGTAATACAATATTTCCTAAATCAAACGCCTTTTTAATAGTCAGTTAACCTTTTATTAAGTCAAATGACTAAAACAGTAGTACTTGGAAACAATTGTCCTTCAAAATAATAAACTGAAATCACAGGGACTAAAATAACTCCGCCAGACTGAAGAAATAAAAGATAAAAAAAGGGTAAATTCTTAGATTGACATCTAATTAGTTTAGGTTGGATTTTGTTTCCTTGAGTGGCAGTTCGGCGGATTACAGCCGTTAAAACGACGTATTATTGAGTGAAAGAGAGAGAGAATTCAGATTTCAGAATTAGGAACCAAACAAGAAATGGGGAAGGAAGCTTCCCTGTTATTATTTAAAAAGAAAAGGACAACTTTCCCTTTATATACAAACAAAACCCAAATGAGCCAAAAATGGAGTTGTTTAAAGCTTGGTTTATCTGAATAGATATCTCTACTTCCACGAAGCTGAAACTTGGTCCATGCTCTTCTATTTCGTTCCATTCATTTCATATCTTTCCATTTTATTATTTTATTTAACAGATATGAGACAGACCTGAGGAATCTGTGCCAGTTTCATGCAACATTTTATTTTTTATATTCTCTCACATTCATCAGACTGTTGAATTATTAAAAAAAAAAAAAGAAAAGGGTTTTTCAAATCTTATAATTCTCAAAGTCTGAAGCTGGCAAATATAGCCACAAGTGTGAGACACATGAGATTTGGTAATACGTCATGATCCTTAATTAATTGAATAGATAGGTATTTTGACTGTAATTTATTGTTTGTTGTACCTTCATTTACTACAGTCTTTCATTTTTTGTTTTTCCAGTAGAAGTCTATTTTGGCAGGCTGCAGCTGAATTGCTCCATGAGAACGATGGGTTTTGGGTCAACTATATATTATAGTATTCAAACATTGGTTTGCAAAATTATTTTGTTGATAAATATTTTTTATATTATTTTTTGATAATTCATTTAAATATTCTTTGACTTTAAAAGGTGAAGCCTTAATAATGTTTGTAAAATTATTTTGTTGATAAATATTTTTTATATTATTTCCTGATATTTCACTTAAATATTCTTTGACTTTAAAAGGTGAAGCTTTAATTTTTACTCTTTTATAGGAATCGTTACTTCTCTTAAAGGTAGATGAATTGACTCTATCACTTCATTATCTTTTCCTCTTATGATTTTCTACTGTTTTGTGTTTGTTTGGACATTGATTGTTTTTTTACTATCAAACCATTGGAAGAAAGGTATAAGAATTTGGTGTGTTTTCATAAAGTTGTAATAATTTCGTTGAATTAGATCTCTTTCTTTTTTGTTAAAGTTTTTGAAGAATGTTTCTCTTAATTCTTGATTATCTTTTGAATGAAAATCATTTCTTAAGAAGGTTTTATCAATATCAAATTTTTCAATAATGTTTAATTCTGGCAAATATGTCATTTGGGAATAGGTTGGAGACATTCTTTGTGATGTCTCTTCCCCATCTTGTTGGGAGGGTGTTTGAACTGAATAATAAGATTGTGGTATTGTTGAGGAATTATCAATTCCTTGAATATTTGTTTTAACCTGGCTAGGTCTAGGAGGGTATTTTACTGAACAAGAAAATCTTCTTTGTTCAAGAGGTTCTTTGGGATTTAATCTGGATGAGGATAAGTGTGAGTCATCAAAACTTATTATTGGAGGCCTACTAAACCTAATCCGAACGCTTCCATCGAAATTTTCAGTCATGTTTTCAATTTCTGTATTTTGGATTGGTTGAGCTAAAGGTTTAGGAATTCTCATTTCTAAAAGAATGACTGCGTTAGCTAATCCCCAATCCTTTGGTAAAGTTATTTGATCCCAATTGATTGTTTTAGGAACTGTTATGTTTGATCTTGTTAAATCAGTTTGAAATAACATTGTGTGGCCTTTTTGGTCATGATTAATGGCTCTAGTTTCAAAAGCTGATTACATTACTTTATATTGGATCCTATAAATGGCTGCTATAGGGATGGTTTCCGGTTTTAAGTCATAATTAAACGTTTTAATATTTAAAGTTAAAACGTCTAGTATATTTTGGTCATCTAAGCAGACTGCGAAATTAGGATAACAATTGAAATAAATTGGTCTATTGGACAGGCTGGATTCTATTGTTCATAATAGAGAATCTCTAAATCTTAGCCATATACAATCTCTTAAATAGGCAAAGATGGCAGTGTCTAAGCCTTCAATGCTTAGAGGTTTGATTCCTATTTGGACAAGTCATATATGAAGATAATTATAACTCTTTTTGTATTTTTTAACAATTTCCTTAGATAATAGTTGAGTGATTTGAGAAGAATTGTTTATCTTAAGAGTTTTTTTTTCTGTTTTAATTATGTATTTTGATTTGTTTAAAGGGTTAACTCTATTGAGACTTGATAATTTTCCTTTTTTGTAAACATCTGTTACAAAAATTTTGGGAATCTTCCATTTATTAAAATGTTTTTGTAAATCTTGAGGTCTTATGACCTGTTTATCTTTTTGTGTACAAGCATGACTTGTTTAAATTATGTTGTCATTTTGATCTATACAAATCTCTTCTTGATGAACAATTTGTTCATCTCTAGTATTTGAACTGGAAGTAGACATTGATCTAGAAAATTTTTCCATTTTGTATATTACCTATTTCTTTCCCTACAGTGGTTGATCTAAAGGACTTACAATGGTAAAATCCTATAGCCCTACACAACCCAAAATGACTCGGTACTCAAAATAATTAATAAACAAAATTTTAATAATCCTAAATCCCTGCCTCCTCCCTGGCTCTTATATCAGAGGGAACATGGTAATCAGTGTGTTTGGGTCACCTTACGTACACCTTAACTAATTATCAAGATTTATTAAATATCTTACAAAAATTCAAAAGATTAGATAACTACAATGTTATTATGATAGGTGACCTTAAGGTTTGAAACAAAGAATTTAAAGAAAGAAACAATTTACGCTAGTCCAAAAGACTAGGTCAACTAGGATTTACACTTTTGAATTCGACAAACATTTATATATAATTGATAAATTGGGAGGATTTTTATGTTTAAAAACGAGAATATTATTCATCTTGTATCATCCCAGTTTTAAAAGCCCTCTTTGGCTATTTATTATTTTTTAATGTCTATTAAGATAAGGGGATATACCTAACTTTAAATTACAGGACTTAAGAGTAGTAAACCTAAATGCAATTAACTCCACCAGAAACCTCTATCAAGAGTGAATATTTCAACATTTCAGCCATGTTGAAATAATCTTGTGAAGTTAATTCAATAATCAGGATTCATGTGTAACTATCGTATGACATAATTTTTATGATATTATATCAACATTTAGAGGTGATATTAGCAATCCAGTAAGTAACTTGTTGCGTAAGACCGTTATTATTCAAATGGAAGAAAGAAGAAAATCTGGAAGAAAAGATTATAAATTCGCCCAACCATATTGTGACATAATGACATTTGATATACATCTTTGATCTTACCTTTACTTTTGACCAACTTCAGAATTAATCTATTTTATTTAGCTTCCTATCGACTTGTCACATCATGCATTTAGATAATAAAGGCCTAGTTATAAAACTTTATATTGTTGATATATGCACATAAAACTTATCTGAAGAAAACTAGACTATATATAAATTTATTTGAGTCAATTAGAAATAAATATATTATAATGGTTTGCCACACCTATTCTCAAGTTTTATTTATGAATGAATTTGTTCCAAAAATCACGTGGAAATGAATCTTTCAACAGCTGGATGAATATTAATTGAGTTAGCTTGAGGTTTTTCTTGAGTTGATTGAGTAAAGGGCATAGGACTTCCACTAGATACACCACTTATGCTCAACTTTTCTTTTAAGGCATGGGCCTTAGGAAGGATCGTCTAAAATAATCAACGAATTAAATCTATTATCGTTTATTACAAAAGAAAACACAAGTCATTTTCTATTGAAATTAGTCAAATTACTTAGGGTTAGGTAGGATGTTCTACTCCTTTGTTTATGGAGGGAAACCAGAGATATATTTGTATTATGCATTTAAATAAAAACAGTAATGTTAAGTCCACAATCCAATCTCACAACATTTTCTCACAACTCCGACGTGATATCTCGTAATTGATCAGTTTGTAATAGACAAGTGGACCCATAATAAGCAACAACATCTTTTTATAGTAACCAATTAAGCTATCTACTCAACAAATGGCTAAAGCTTCCATGGGCAAAGTTAAACTTTGTAGCTGGTTTCTGATCTTCCATGTTATTGCTTTTATGGTTCCCTACTGGTCCTTCCCTTCAACTTTTTTCTTTTTATTTTATTAGCATTTTTTTGTTTAAAATTCTGGGTACATTGGGTTGTTCATTGTATTAGCTCCTCTTTTTTCTTGTTTAAAAGGATCTTTGTTTGAAGGAATCACTTCCAAGCCTCATAGAACAATTCAACAACTCATTTTATATCACACAAATACAAATCAGATTTATTGCCTTTCATAAAAGAGCTCTATTGTCTCCTTTTAGAGGAAAAATGTAAAAAAGAAGAGCACAACTCTAGCCTCTTACTCTGATGCCAAAAGTAGTTGGAAAAACCAAATTCAAAAAAGTCAAAGTTGGTATGTGAGGAGATCGATCCCGAAACCATTTTATTTTCACAGTATGATTATCTTCTCCAGACCCTTTACCATTCTACTTGTATGTTTTTTCATTGAAAGGCCTAATGTTATGATTGATTATTGATAATTTTCCCTAAAAATGTTACACAAAGTACTATATTTGTACCCAATGTTGAACAAAAGACAGAAATTAGAAAAAGAATTCAGAGTTTTCAAAATATTTCACTCAACTCTAAACGTAATCAGTTTTTTATTTTCTACCAGTTGCTTTTAGAAATTATAACTCAGGACCTCTTCAACAAAATGGAGTCCCCACAGAGGTTTAAATTCCCATCCTCTCATTGTGCTTAAAATACTCAAGTTATTGCCACCTTCTAGCGAATTTTCACTGCAAACAAACGCAGAGTATAAATTATGTTCTTTGACAAAAGGAAAGTTGTAAACAGAAATCTTTTCCACAGAATATACAAAACTTGACAGGACACTAAATTCTAGAGTCTTGCTTGTTGAACTCAAGATGATCTAAAAGTTAAGAATATGCTATGTGCTTTGGTTACCTCATTCCTCTTCTAAAAGGAGTGATGTACAAGAAAGAAGAGATGATAATTCCTCGGGTGTTGAAGATCCGAACCCTTGCCATCTTACTCTACCAAATTTGTCAAGAAGGAAAATATACCTGTAGGTTGACAACATTAAGAGAGCATAATTTTATAGCTAACAACTAAATTTGTCAGGCCATAACACAAATTATTAAAAACAAAGCTTCTATACCCAGTCAAAAGGTTCAGTATTTTAAGTTCTTTTCTCAAGTCATAATGGTCACCGAATGAATAAACAATCTGCCTCTGGAGCACATTCTTCCCTCCATCATTAGATTTCCTCACTGCCTTTAGAAACATCCTCTTAATTGGACTCAAACATAAGTACCAAGAGTCTATAAACGACACCTGAAAGTAGTGAAAACTTGGTTATTAAGAATTCGATACTTATATAAGTTCTAAGAATCAGTTGAATGATATCACTGGAAGCGTGATTCTTGCCATCCTCCTGTCTATAAACGGCACCTGAAAGTAGTGAAAACTTGGTTATTAAAGTTCGATACTGATATAAGTTCTAAGAATCAGTTGAATGATATCACTGGAAGCGTGATTCTTGCCATCCTCCTGTTAAGAAATATTCCCAAGAATGCTTAAGTCACACATAACTCCAGGCCATTTATTATGAATTAAATAAGACCATAATCTACCATGAATTTGTCACTTCGCTCCATAGCATTCCTCAAATTACTAAAATATAAATGTAAAATTTACATGTAGCCATATTTAAAAATAACAATTACACAAACAAACAGAATGAAATAGCCACAAAGGGAGGATAAATTTTGCAATAAAGATCACTTTCATGTACATAAAAGGCGTTAGTAATTATTAGCTAAGGGGTTAAAGCCAGCAATGGAAAAATAAGCAGATACAGCTAATGGTTTCCTATGAGGAAAAAGGCGATCTTAAAGCATCACTTACGGAGAAAAAAATTATATTTAGATCATGATGAAAATGAAAGGAAGCTGGATAAGTCGGAAATTGAAAACAAAATTAGCCTCGTAGTGACAGCAAGATACTTCACCAGGGAAGGCCTTTAAGTGAAATCTATAGGTAAAGGTAGGACTGCACTGAACTGGTAGAAAAATTGTCTAAACAGATGAACTAATAACCCCCAATCCAGCAGCCCCAACAAAAAAGATGAAAAATGAAAGAAGGAAAACAATTTCAAATAATAAATAAAAGATACTGACTTATCATGTATCCTTTTTTTTTTTTTTTTCCTTCTGTTTTAATAGTTCATAAATCTCTCAACATGTGCATGAAATTGAGAACTATGGCCAGGACGCAAATCTATGTGATAAATGCTAGGTAGGTAGCCCAAGGGGATTGGGAGCTTGGAGCTCTTACATGAAACCAAGGGTTATATCATTTGACACTGTTGGGTTTTATCACGGAAATCAATAAACTGATATAACACACATCAAAAGAGTTCAGACATACCACAAATTACTATGACAAGTTATTAAGGGCATCAAAAGAGTTACAAGCGACTATAACTGATCATAATTGATTCAATTCTTTCTCTAGAACCACAATAATGGAATACAAAATTCCGTTGTATCTTGAGCACTAAGCTAGAACTAGTAAGGAAATTCTGATCAATACCTGCATGAAATAATAAAGCAAATGTACCTGATACAGGTGAATATTTTTTGAATTGCCAAAAGCTTCAAGAAAAGGTGTGCTCCAGGAATTGACCATTGCCTGCCAACAGAGAAGACTGTTATACATAGCAGTAACAGTTGCAACAACCCTGCCTTGTAAACTAAAGTTCCAGTTGAGGTTGTCAAACTGGGATCATAAGTTAGATTTTTTTCCTTTACTATCAAGGATGGGAGGCAAATCTTCAAGTTTAGACCACACAATTTTACAAACCAAAACAAAACTAATAACAATTTATATTAGTGTATTGGAAGCAATGCTTACAAGTATAGACTATAGCTTGCAACTCAAGAAAAGGAGGTACGTCTACCTAAAAAGTCTAGTAATGTGACTCTAATCATTGATCCCTTGGTTCGACTTATAATTAGCAAATTATACGGTATATGTGACAAATTTAATCATTTTTAATAACTTTACTCTTTCCTGTTCCCCATTTCAACTCATAGTAGTTTCATTCTCTTTATTTTAACTTAAAAAGCAACAATTGTGTTTAAGGTGCATGATTGATACCTGTGAACTTGCCCGAAATGTGAGACATAGTAAGGAAGCTTTAGGGATAACTGATTTGTCAACACCAACTACATCTCCACCGGAACAGACTGGCAGCTTTAAAGTTTTACCATCCGCGTAACTAACATCCAAGTTAGGGAACTTTACAGCCGCCATTACTGGAATGATAGTTTTATTTGCCACAGCAATCTGCACAAATACCACTGCACCATCAAAACAAGAAAAAATTTCAAATTATAATTCTTTGTCCTTTTAATCTTAACTCAATAGAAATACATTAATTAGATTACATGGAATGTAAATAAGGCAAGGCTTGTTGACTACAATATGATATTTATTACCTTTCCGCCATGTTTCCTTAGCTCTTTAATGTCGCCGAAGTAATCTCTACTCATCTCTTCTTTACTGCCATAAATCACAACATAAAGTATTAATATAATTTCAATATGCTATCAACTTAAAAAAAAAAAAAAAAAAAAATTTACATCTTAGCACGCTCTTTCTCCTTTGCTTGTTTGTCCCAGAACTGCATTGAAAAAAAAGAAAAAAAGAAAAAAAAGCCCATAAGCAAGAATGTATGAAATGAAAATATAGACGTAGCGATTACGAAAACAAAAATACATTGACAAGAAAAGAAGGAAAGTACTTGCTGGATGAAGAGGGTTGAGGATTGCTGAGGAGGAAGACAAAAGAGATTGTGTTCATAGCTGAAGAATTGGTTTGAAGTGAGTATGGAGGTTCTTGTTTGTTTTATGAATCGATTGATTCTGAACATCTTTGACCCGATTTCTCTCAATTCAACCGTAAGAACAAACGAGTGAACTTGTGTTGTGAAGGTCGGCAGAAGCAGTAAAAACGAAACGAAAGGATCGGTTCATGCGACCGGTGTGGCATGGCCCAAGCCCACCTCTTTGTTTTTATGTTGATCCATCCAATTTGATAAAAGCCCAGGAGATATGTGTACTGGGCTTATGGATCTTTGGATTAATAGATCTCATTGAATCCGTCCATGATTATTTCTCAATTACAATACGAAAAGTTTAGTCTCAATTAAATTGATCAATATCTATATTACTAGATACATTTATTTTATATTAAAAAAGTCTCTTTAAATCTCCTTTTAATATCGAAAATAGCTTTGTTTAATTAGATTTTTCTGTTTGCACTATTTTTTTTTCCAATTTCAAATTTAATTAGGTTTTTTGTTTACTCATTTTTTCTTCAATTTCAATCTTAATTAGGGTTTTTGTTTACACAATTTTTCAATTTCAAACTTAATTAAATTTTTTTATTTTTATAACCCTTTTTTTCAAGTTCAAATTAGAAACTTATTTTTCTTTCTTTAGATTCAATTTCTTCCCCTTGTGTATTTATTTTCTCCATAACTTTAGTAAAATATTTTCATCAAACAAAGAAATATTTGAAACTAAAAAAAAAAAAAAAAAAGGGTTCAATTATTCAAAAAAAAAAATTAGAGCATGGATTTATGTAAAAATTAAAGGTTAAAAATTAAAAAAAAAAAAAAATATAGAGTATGAACTTATTTAAAATTATTATGATATTTCTAGTATTTTTCATTAAGGTTAAAATTGTTAATATATATATAAGTGAAAAATACTAACCAATTTGATGGGGGCTAAGAATCAATGCCCTTACAATATTCATGTGATTATGTCTATCATAGTGGAGAATAGGGTTGGATCCCGCACTTGGTCAATATCAATTCATGGATACATGTCTAACTTGTTCTAAGTTCTAACTATGAAATATGAATATTATGATTATGACTAATCACTAAAATTACACCAATCACTTAAGACGATTCAATCAATCAATTTTTTGATTGAGTGTAATTATATTATTGTGATTGACAATCACCCAAAATCACTCAATCAATCAATTTCTTGATTTAGTGTAATTACATTATTTTGTTTCCTTATTGTATAACTGAACTTTTGTATGAAAATAATGTGAAGCCAAAACTGAGTCATTTCATTTAAGTTCATTGGTGTAATTCTAGCCGTCAGATCAAGACAGATCCAAGGGCTGATATTTACTGAGATGGGCATATATAAAAAGAAGCAACAGTGGTGTGAATAGACGGCACGTTTTTGTTAATCCAAAAATTAGGGTTCATGAGAGAAAAAAAATTAGAGAGCAACTAGGGTTGAGTATTTTCTGGATCTTTCTGGGTATAATTTGCATAGATTAGAAAGAGGGTTGCGTTTCCTTCGTGAGGCTAGTTTTTATCCACTGTTTCTTGCAGATTATTGAGAGATTCTTGAGCGAATAGGCCTAGGTTGAGGGTTGATCTGTTTTGGCAGATTTGTATGATTGTCTTCTTGTAATCGTTGGATATTCTTTTAGTGCTGTGAGTATCCGTATTTCGGAGCTCAACGTGGATGTATTCTATCCAAGATTGGATAGACGAACCACGGTAAATTTTGTGCCTTGATTCTTGTGTGTGTGGTCTTTTGATCTTGAATCTTGTTTGTGTTTGTTTGTGTTGTGAATTGGTTAATTAGGCTTAGGTTATAACAGTGGTATCAGAGCCAAAGTTCTAAGGGGTATTTAGGTTTAGAAATCGTTTGATTTTTTGACGAATTTAAAAATTAGGGTTTGTCAATTTGGGGGTTTTTCGATTTAAAGGTTCCTAGATCATTAGGACTTCGAATCTTGCTGAGTCTTGGGATTAATTTGCAGGATTAGGTTACAAACACAAGGGATCGATGAAATTCGTGCAAAATCGAAATTAGGGTTTTGTTAGGATTTGGGGGTTTTTCGGATTAAAGGCTTATAGAGCTTTAGGGTTTCGAATCGTCCTTGAATCTGGTCGAATCGATTAGTCTGAGTCACAAACACGAGTCAGGGGAGAAATCTTGGTATTGTCTAAGGGCTGTAGTAGTCTTGTCACTTTCGTCTTGTTTGTGTCTAGCTTTGTTTGATAAGTTTAAGGGTATCTCGACTGGAAAACCAATAACCACCTTAAAAACTGCCTGGCAGTACTTGGCAACCTCTGGTGTAACAATGCCATGTACACCTTAGACTGTCTTGCCCCTTGTAGTCGTATTGTTACTTTTGTCTTGTTTGATAAGCTTAACGGTATCTCGGCTGGAAAACCAGTCCGCCTTAAAAACTGCTTGGCAGTACTTAGCGACCTCTAGTGTAACAACGCCACGTACACCTTAGACTATCCTGCCCTGTCATTACAATACAATGAGCACTACTCGTATGGAGATCTCCCAATACGATGGGAATATCGATTTTAATACATGGAAAAAGAAGATGAAGGCTCTACTTTCACATAATAAGGTAGGGCTTGCTCCGGAAAAAGACATCACCAAGTGGTCTGAAGAGAAACTGGGAAAGAAGACAGAAGTTGATGAGGAAGCCTATAATCTAATCGTAATGAATCTGTCCGATGCAGTCCTGCGAAAGGTAGATGGCATGGAAACACCACTTACACTCTGGGGTAAACTCGAATCCCTCTATTCCTTACGGTCTGCTCCTAACTTAGCATTCCTTAAAGGAGCGTTATTCTCTTATAAAATGGATGTTACTAAGTCTGTAGAAGAAAACCTTGATGAGTTTCTTAAGATGACATTAGTGTTGAAAGGAACAGATCAGGAGTTAGGTGATTCTAGTTTAGCGATGATACTGTTAAATTCATTACTTGATGAGTATTTGGTGGTTAAGAATGCTTTACAATACACTAGGACAGTCCCCAGTGTTGACCTGATTATAGCTGGCCTGAAATCTAGAGAATTGGAGTTAAAAATACAGAAAAGGAATGGGAATAACTTGTTTGTCAAGATTAGGACAGACCCTGGACAACTAGGAAGGGATAGTAACAAAAATTTCCAACAACACATGAACTCTAAGACTAAAAAAAAGAAGGAAAGAATAACAAGTTTAAGGGACAAACTAGGAAGTGTTTTCACTATAATAAACCATGCCACCTTAAGAAGAACTGCTATGATTGGATAAAGAAACAAAAACAGCACAATACAGAGAGTAATTTAGCTAGCACTAGCACTGGCATTGAAATTTCAAAAGCCCTCACTGTCTCAAACCAAGCCAGCAGTAAGGAATGAGTTCTAGATTCGGGATGCACCTTTCATATGAGCCCAAACATCCAATGGTTCCAAAACCTTAGGAAAGGAGAGTTAGAAACTGTTTTCATGGGTAATAATCACTCTTGTAAGGTTCAAGGTATAGGAAATATAACCATTAGGTTGAATAATGATAAAGTCATCATGTTAACCAGAGTAAGGTATATACATGACCTTAAATGAAACCTGATTTCCTTAGGAACATTGGTTGAAGCTGGATGTAGTTATAAGGCAGAAAAAAGATCCATAGTTGTGTATAAGAATAATGAAATTTTCCTTGAAGGAGTCAAACAAAATGGGTTGTACATTCTGTGTGGTCAACATTGTGCATTCACTATAAATTCTGCTTTATCATTTACTAATCTGACTGTTGCAGAGAAATGACATTTGAGACTTGGCTAGATAGGCCAAAAAGGTATGACAATGTTAAGCCAACAAGGCTATTTTGGTAAGGAATCCATATCTGAATTAACTTTCTGTGAAGTTTGTGTGTTGGGAAAACAGCACAGAATGAGTTTCCAAAAGGGAACTCATCTGGCTGAAAAAGGGTTGGATTATGTACATACAGATCTTTGGGGTCCTGAAAGGGTTAGAACACATGGAGGGAATTGCTATTTCCTCCCCATTATAGATGATTATAGCAGAAAGGTATGGGTGTACCTGCTTAGGTCCAAAGATGAAGCCTTAACCAAGTTTAAAGGCTAGGAAAACCTGGTTGAAAACCAAGTAAATAGGAAGGTGAAAACATATAGGACAGACAATGGCTTGGAATTCTGTAATCTAGAGTTTGACTCTTACTGTATAGAAGAGGGAATCTTGAGGCATAGGACAGTTAGGGGAACCCTTCAACAGAATGGGGTTGTTGAGAGAATGAATAGAACCCTTATTAAGAGGGTTAGATGTTTCTTATTCACAGCTGGTTTACCAAAAACCTTTTGGGGGGAAGCACTAGGTACAATAACCTATCTTATAAATAGGAGCCCTTCTAGCTCAATAGATTTTAAGTGCCCTGAAGAAAAGTGGTCTGAAAGGAGACCATCTCTTGAACACCTAAGAGTCTTTGGATGTGCTGCATATGCACATACCAGAGATGGAAAGTTAGAGCCAAGATCTCTTAAGTGTATTTTTTTGGGATATCAAGAGGGAACTAAGGGTTATAGGCTGTGGGAGAGGGCTGCCCTAGGGGTTAGGGTAATTGTTAGTAGGGATGTGATTTTCAATGAAACAGTTTTTCCTTGCAAATTTGGTACTAACAGTGCAGATAGCTCATAAGAAGAGTCTGAAATTTCTAGACAAACTGGGACAACTCAGTTTGAGGTGGAGCCTGAAACTAATCCTGATCAATACATCCAAACAGATGAGACTGATCCACTTGAAGCTCAACCACAACAAAATCAAGAGCAGGAGGATGAAGATCACCCTACTGACAATGCTGAAGTGGATCAGCATGGTAATCTGGCCCAATATTAGTTAGCCAGGGACAGAGTTAGGACGGAGATCAAACCTCCTGCAAGGTACAACTATGTTGACCTGATCTATATAGCACTCCTGGCCGGTTCAAAGATACATCGATCAGAAGCCAACACTTACGATGAGGCAACGAGTTCAAGGGATAGAAAAGAATGGGTGGCTGCTATGGAGGAAGAGATGGAGTCATTGCACTCAAACAAAACTAGGACACTAGTTCTAAAGCCAAAGAA